CAAACAGTTGTTGCAACTCTCTCAATGGAAGGACAGCAACATCACAGAAAATTTTGGTAATCTGTAATTATCTTTATTTTATCCTCGTACTAAGGCAAGTGGACTTTATAAAAGAGGTCTCAAAGCTAAGGTCATGCAGGGAGCATAAAGCAAATGTTCAAATACTGTTCTGTGCTGTATTTCAGGTATTATCCATGATTTTAGAGGGGCAATAAGTGGACACCAGCTCCTTGTCTGCTCCTTCCTTTCAGAGATAACAAACACTTCGAGAAATGGTGTCAGTGCCAGCTGTGAGGATAGATTTTGTACTAGGGAAGCTGTTTCACTAGGAGATAGATGTAGGTCATCAACTTGTGATTCACACAAGCAGAATCATAGAATCATGGAATATGCCAAGTTGGAAGGGACCCACAAAGGTCATCAAGTCCAACTGGCCCTGCATGGGACCATTCCCAAGAATCACACTGTGGGCCTGAGAGTATAGTCCAAATACTTCCTGAACTCTGTCAGGCTTGGTGCTGTGACCACTTTCCTGGGGAGCCTGTTAAGCGCCCAACCACCCTCTGGGTGAAGAATCTTTTTCTAATATCCAACCTAAACCTTCCCTGGTACAACTTCAGGCCATTCCTTCGGGTCCTGTCACTGGTCATGAGAGTGAAGAGATCTGTAACCTGCCCCTCTGCTTCCTCTTGTGAGGATGTTGAAGGGCACGACGAGGTCTTCCCTCAACCTCCTCTTCTCCAGTTGAACAAAGTGACCTCAGCTGCTTCTCATACAGCTTCCCCTCAAGGCCTTTCAATATCTTCATTGCCCTCCTTCAGACACTAACATGCTCAGAGATGTTAATGCAGAGCCAAATCCAAACAATTTTCTGAAGATTTCTGTCATTTTTACAGATATTAGGGAAAGCTGACAAACTTCTAAAGTTCTGATATGGCTGAAAAACATCAACCTTCTGCCTGCTATAAAGAAAAAGCCCACCAAAACCACTTCCTGCTAGGAAATTGAATCAAAAGTTACCAAAGATACACCATCATTGAAAGCAGTAAAATTTGATCTTGAGAAAAAAATGTTTTGTTTGCTTAGTTTTTAAGAACATGTAATAGCCTAAAAGCAAGACTGGTAATACTTCTGTCTAAAAGCTTTCCCAAGCTTTTATTTTCTTGTCCAGCAAAAGAATGAAAAATCAAATTCTCAAATGTTTTGGGGTTTTTTGTTTGTTTTTTTTTATGAAATGGCAGTGTAAACATAAATCAGAGTAACTACAAGTGCCTCAATTCAGTCTCAGACAGTACCTTTATAGTACCTGAAGCACCTGGAAATTTCCTACAAGGCACCAAACTTCAAAAATAAATATCATCAACAGCTTTTGCACCTCTAGCACAAAGGATTTATGTCCAAATAGTAAAGTTCACTTTGACAGGAAAAAAAAATTACTTAAACTTTGTATAAGATAGTGAAGTTAACTATGACAGACATTAGCAACTGTCTAGATAGATAGTTGCTTCCTTCCATCTTACCTATTAAACATTTTGATCTCTCTTTCTTTCTCTCGTCTCATAAAAACACACCAGAAATTCCTATACACAATGGTGATGTGAAGAACTTGAATACAGCATGTGGAACATAGCTGGAGTGAAACACTTATTATAGTGTTGAATAGGTCACATTAAAAGCTAATAACATTTATCAGTAGAAAATAATCACTTAAGACTGACAAATGTATTCAAAAAATGTAAATAAGTAAAGCTTTGCTCTTAAATATTAATATGATTTTCTTCATAATCCATGCCTATAACACAAAATGTAGCTTTTGTTGGCTCTCATTGAAAATTTGGGTGTTGGAGGATGTTATATACTGCCATTTTAAGTACAAAGAAGTTACAGGGGAAGTGGCAGGGGAGAACCACTTTTTCAGTACAAGAATACGTATGAAACTCCACTATTTTTCCTGGATTGTATCTTAATTTCATGCAAGGAGCTCAATAGAAGGCTATAATTTCATTTCAGTGGCCAAGGAATCAGACCACAGATATAATTCCTGCAGTGAACTTCACACGGAATTTCAGTGGAGGAAACTTTCACAGGCCGATGTCAGATATTGTTCTGGAAATTGGTTGGGGACAAGTACTCACACAGCAATGTGGTAACATTTTCCCCATGGAAGGAAAAAACCGCATATTATCACTTAAATTATGAACTTGATATCTCCAGCAGCATAAGGCACAAGAAATCCAAGGTAACATTTCCATCCTCTGTGCTAATGTTATCAGGATTTCTAGATGGTTCTGTTTTATTTTACCTTTAAATGAAGCAGGTACAAGATGCAGTGTTTAGTCTTATACCTGGGACTTGATCTTGTAAAAAGATGGAAGTCGTGAACCAAAGTAGAGCCAAAGAGTTCAGAACGCATTCGTGTTGTAAGCTTTTACATAGAAGGCTTTTAGTATCTCAAATAATCAATTTTCTAGTTTCTGTTCTGCAGGAGTCACTGCTAGAAAATTATGAAGGATGTTAAATAGGACTAGGCATGTTTTTAAAGACTTAATAGTGTGGTTCTCTTCACAGCAGTTACTGACTAGAATCTGGTTATATCAGGTTTATGAGACATTACTGACTCCAGCAGAGGGGGTTGGATGGGAACCCTTGTGACCAAGTCCTGTACAGACACAGAGACAAGTTTCTTTCCTTTATAATGTTGTATATCCTGTGTTCATCAAGTCTTAAGTGTTTTTCATTCTTTCATGGAAACTCAGTACACAACATCTAAGTAAACTTCAGTGAAGCATAGGTTAAAGTTCCTCCTTTCTGACTGCTGATAGCTCTCATTGAGAGTCGGTAAACACTGTCTAAAGGCTAAAATTGCAAACCTGGACCACCTACGAGAGGTATCATTGAGTCTCAAATAAGCCCTGCATGTTTTTGGAGGTAAGTTCTGTGTAGTGATCAGGCAGCATTGATACTTTCATGCACCTTTAAGCTTTCTTCTGGGAAAGGAAAACTTAGGATTGTGGTTTGGGCTCCACAGTATGCCCAGGATTTTAATATAAAAAACAGCAGTTGTTTTTTCCTCTTATGGTTTCCCTGTTGGCAGATTTTCTGCTTGGAGAGCCTACCACCTGGGCTTATACCAACAGAAGCAGAAACAGTCAGATTTAGTCTGTGATTAACAGAATAAATTGCCCTTCCTACAGATAAAAAGTCTGCATTTTATCAGAAGGGATAGGTCAGAAAAGTGATGACACAGCCAGGTTCTCACACTTGAATACACTGAGTAAGTGACCCTTTTGGAGGAGGAGTCCACCCTGCCAACTGTGGATGATGAGCAGAGCCTCTAGCACCAACACCCCCCAAAGGTTGTTCTACGCCACCTGAGCAGTAAGTCTCCTGAGCTTTGGGCTCCTGCCCCAATTCCTGCTTCTCCAGGCTCTCATTCCCATAAATCTAGTCTCTAAAACCATAATTCATCTAGATGTTTCCTTCACTTTCTTGTGACAAATCTGCAGTACAATCCTCAAAAGAAATCCAGCTCTGTATGACAATGGGATTGCATTCTCTGTAAAAAAAATAATGTCATATTCTTCATAGGGTAAAACAAAATTAGCCTTGCATTTCACTGTCACAAACTTTGCTATCCTGATGATCATTATCCAGTTGGGATCTGTATCAGCTGTAAGTTTGTTCTGATCTCATTTGTTCCGTTTGGTTACTGTAATCACAAATTGCCTTGTTTCATGGAGCAAATTTCTCTCAGAGGAGAGAAATTTACTTCACCAGATAATGATCTAGATAGGAGCCATGTGCAAGGCTGATAAGAGAGCCTGGAAAGCAATGATTTCTTTCCCCCAAGTACCTGGGAATCTTGGAAAGATGCACTGCCTTCCACAGATTAGGCACCTTCATGCAGGCCGTGAGATTACTGCTGCTTCCTTCCCTCTTCTATGTACCTCATTACGTAGGCCATAGATTTTAAAATTTAGGGAGAGCTGATAAATACACTAGAGCTGTAGGCACTAATTCTACTTTTTATTGAAGATTGAGAGCAAATCTTTAGCATAAATATCTGTTTTGTTGTCTGCCTCAGCTTAGCTGTAGCTATTCATAAATATATACCCATTGCTAGTGCTGGTGTCTCTCTCATGCCCACAACAGTTGATCTGGGCTGTATTTAAATCAAAAACCCAATTTCTCTGTGATATATGAGTGATGAACTCCTGTGAAAATCTCACCCATATTACACTGTACATCACATCCATACATGCAGCTGCTACAGTTGACATCTAAAACTTTAAACAAGGTTTATGTTAGGGAGTAACTTCCCCCTCTCATTTTACCAAAAAACCCAGCACAAAAGCACAAAAGCCCCAAACCCCCAAACACATATTCAGGGCTGACCTTTGGTGACAGATTCTGATTTGTGGGACACTGTCAATCATAAGAAAACATTTCTCTAGTTACTACAAGCTCTAATGCTCATTAAAGACATGAGCCAACTCCCATGGAAGCCACTGGGACTCTTTCACTTGCCTTCCTTGTGGTTCAGATCAGGACCTGAAACACTCATATTTCTAAAAATCGCTCTTATTTCCAGTGAAGGCCTTCTGTCGTTTCTATATGAAGTATTTATAAGAAAATATTGAACTGTATTTCTCAGTGACTCAGTAAATAACTCATGTCATGCTCAATGCTCTTGGGTGGTAATTAAAGATTTAAGACATTCAACAAAAACGTCATTGCTTAATTAAAACCAATAAAAATCCACATTAAAATATTTGCCTGTTGCCACTCAGACTTTGTTCTAGGTGTACTATAGATTTTTTCCAGCTAATCTTACTTAAAGCAAGCAGGAAGCTATCTTTCCCTGGATGAAAGCTATAAAAAAATCGTATTACCTTAATCTTCACACTGTTAAGTATTTTAATGTCTATTTATTCTTCAAACATGTGGTCTCATATGCATTATTTAATTTCATTAGAGACAATGGACAAATTGATACTCACTGTACATCCATACTGCTTGTGTTTCTTTGTTGGAATTGTGGAGCTACAATCTGCTTATTATCCGAAAGCATTACAGACTGTGTTGTCCTCTACAGCTGGCTCTCAGGTCCCTCTGCAGCAGCTTCTTGGTCTATATAGCAGATGTATACTCTTAATACCTTCAAAACAGAAAAAAATGAAATCTTTGCTCTGTGTACCCCCTCACCCCCAATGCCATTGGTTTGGTGAATTACACTGACTGTTTAGCTAGCCTTGCAGAAGACACTGTTTCGTCACATGCTGAGCAACCACATGAGCAGTGAAGCAAAAGAGAATGCCAAGAAGGAAAGAGAAAGATAGAATCCATACATATTGTCCCAATGATAAATATGAAGCAGGATCCTGTTATGACCCAAGTTCAAAGGAACTAGCTGATGTCTTTGAGACCCTCAAACGATATGTTCTGGGGTATTGGAAAAGAGGATGATTTGGAAGCCTAGTCTAGATAACTTAATAGAATAAAATCACACTAACGCTAATTTATAAGCTTGAAAACCTATCACTTTGCTTTCTAATTCCTGGTTTTGGAGATGTGGATGCAAAATTCAACATAAAAACGTGTGTTTAAAAGCACCTTCTCAAGTAAATATTTATATGTCTTTCTTATTGCCTGTATGAACAGTACTTAGACCTATACTGAGGTAAGAAGCAGCAAGGGAAAATGTCAATTTTACAAAATAAAGCTTTATAAAATCACTTCAGTGAACCAAAATATTTTCACAGAACAGATTGTTCATAATATAGCTTTTTTCACCAATTTTACATCATAAAATACTCCTCTAGCCTAGTTCTGTTTAAGCTAGCTCTAGCATTGACATCAGTATAAATATTCCAGTAAAATACTTAGTTCAGCTGTCCTGAATCCAAGTCAGAGGCTTTCCCACTGTTTAAATATCCTTGATTTCTTTTTCTCCAGTACTTTTATTTTCATGTTCAAAGAAGTTTAAGTAATTAGTAGGTTACCCTTTTTCTTCTGCATAACTCTGATGGCAAGCTCAGTCATATCATAAATTCTTAGGTGTTATGTATTCTATATTTTAATTTTAGCTAATAAAAGATGAAAGGATTATTAGTACCAAGTACATTGGCTGACCCTAGAACACTGTATTTCCTTTTCTACTTTAAATGGTGGTATGTACATTTTTATGAACTTGTTTTTCCTTCTTAACATCCTAATTTCCTCATAGGCATCATGTTTTTGATATCTTTGGGAAGCCTTTGATCTGTCTTGCACCTTAAAATATTTAATCTTTTTTTATTTGATGTAATCATTTTTGTTGGGTTCTTTTGATGTCTCCATTGTATGCTTTCCTATATCTCTTTATTTTCACTTTCAAAGAGCCCTCTTTGTTCAGAGGCAGACATTCTTCCCCAATGCTATTTTCCTGGCATGTTCATCTATTAAAAATACGCATCCTTTATTTTTAATTTGAGTAGCTCTTAGACTATGTCAATTCCTAATACTTACATTCATTCTATGACATCCACAATTGCTAAACACAATGAAAATGTGTCCTCCTGTATTTGGTGTTTCTCAAGATCACCATTACTCTAATAAAAGTTAAATAAAGAATAGTCTCTTAGAATAGTAGAGCAAGAACTTGAAATGTTCATAAAATATCTCTCTCTTTTTTTATACTGTGATATTGACTAGCTGGTATGTAGCTACTTGAGTCTTTTATGTTTCACCAATTTTTTTCTGCCTCTTAAAATTTAACTGAGAACTATGTAGAGTACTTCAGCTTTAAGAATCTGAGTGAAAATACAGTGCAGAGTACTGACGGCAGAAAGTTGGCCATCCAACTTCTCTGCGAACTGCATGCTCAGACTAAAAATTCAGTGGCATGATACTTTTCTACCAGAATTTTAATTATAGATCGTGGTATATAACCTTTTTGGGAACAGTATGATTCCCTGATTACCTTGTCTTCTATAGCTTGTAACTATTCTGATAGTTACGAGGGACCATTTCTAGGATCTGAAGTCAAGGATGGCTTTTCGATTTGGTCTTTAGTTGGTTAGTTGGTTTGGTTGGTTGACTGGTTGGTGGGGGCTTTTTGCTTTTTTCACAGTACATCAAAGAAGTCTTCCAGTCTAAAACCATATAACATAGAAAATTCAAACAAACAGCCAAGAAGTTGTCTATGCTTAAAAGTTCATTGCAGAGAAGACTGTGGTCATTTAAATGCAGGCCTTCATGGCTAGGCTTCGCAAACGAAGATTTGGGAAGGGCTCTACCCATTTTTCATGCAAGCGCGTTGGTGGCTAAAAAGGCCAATACGAGATAGACACGTCCGGTTGCAAAAGACACAGCAGAAAGACTCCTTAGATGGTATATTCTGCAAGGCTCGATTCTTTCTGCGTTGTCTTTTCTCCTCAAGAGTGATCCTGCGTGCCTTCTCAAAAGCATCAGCAGCGTTATAAATGGTCTGTCTCCAGGCCTCCCGATTAGAGGCCAGAGTGGACCAGTTATGGTGATCAATATGCCCGAGGCTGAGTTGTTGCTTCAGGGAGTCCTTGTATCTTTTCTTCGGAGCTCCTCTCTTGCGGCAGCCGGAGGCAAGTTCACCATAAAGCAGGATCTTAGGGAGGCGGTGGTCCTTCATCCTGGAGACGTGCCCTGCCCATCGCAGCTGTGTTCTCAGTAACATGGCCTCAATACTTGTGATTGCTGCCTGTTCAAGAACAGATGTATTGGTCACATAATCTGACCAGCGGATGTTCAGGATTGTACGGAGGCAGCGTTGATGGAAGCGTTCTAGGAGACGCAGGTGGTGGCGGTAGATGACCCATGATTCGGAACCATATAAAAGAGTAGACAGCACTATGGCTCTGTAAACACTGATCTTGGTACTTTTCTTCAAGTGTTTATTACGCCATACTCTTTTATGGAGTTTTCCAAAGGCACTATATGCCTTCGCTAACCTATTATCTATCTCCCCGTCGATCTTACCATCTGAGGAGATGAGGCTGCCTAAGTAATTAAACTGTTGGACTGATTTGAGTTCTGACTGGCCGATGGTGATGTGGGGATGATGGAGGACTTCCTGAGGTGCAGGTTGATGGAGAACTTCAGTCTTCTTTAAGCTGACTTCCAGCCCAAAGAGCTCAGCAGCATCTGCAAAGCAGGATGTTAAACGCTGCAGGGCTGCTTCTGTGTGGGCAACAAGGGTGGCGTCATCAGCGTAAAGCAGCTCCCGGACAAGATGGTTTAGGGTCTTGGTGTGGGCCTTTAGTCGCCTTAGGTTGAATAGGCTTCCATCAGTACGATATCGAATGTAGATACCGTCCTGATCATCGAGATCTGCCGAGGCCCTTTGGAGCATCATGCTGAATGCAGGCCTTACTCTAATGTAATATAGCATCATTACTTTTATGAGATCTATGGATGACATTCTTCTGTGACACTAGGATTTAGCTAGAGGAAAGAAATCCCCAGCTCATTTATTCATATAGCATTAAGATCTGTTGTTATGAGCAGCTCAAAAGGGATTTAGGACAACACAGGATCTATACTCATTCACTGGTCATAATACACCAGAACTATTTTCATTCTTACTGAAAGTTCTGTAACAGAGGCAACCATATAATTTCTTGAGATTTGGTTAAGTGTCTCTCTATAGTTGATACGAGCTCCTAGAATCGAATGACAGGATGAGAATGTCAGCTTTCACATGAAGGAAATTGAATGTTTTTATCCCCCATGATTGTCAACAACAGCCAGCAAATAAAACACCCTATCCTAATAAATGGAAACTAAAGTAAAACATAAAATGAATCAATAATTTTAGATGTGTGCATTTTCAAAAAAATTGCACATTTGGGAGACACTGAAGAAGTGATTTATGGCAATAAAGCCTTCCAGGATGCAAAAGCCCTGCACTTTCACCTCACCTTTTGAAGTGGTGCTGCAAGTCAAGGTTGATGCATATACCTCATGGTTTACACTGTAGAAGTTCGGCTTCCAGTACCTGTCATCCATAGTTCTCCAATGGATCATGACACAACACAGACACCCTCCTTTCCCCAGGCAAAACCAGAATTTTCATAAGAGTGGTCACACTCAGGTTTTGTACCCTAAAAAGAGAAAATATGTTTCTTTTGTGTCATTTTTTAGTGACAATAAATAAATTAAATAAATTAAAATCGAGGGCTATTTTGAGTAAACTATTTGTGCATCTGTCAGTCTGACAGTCATATAACCTCTCCTCCATATCTTTTTCAATATTATTTTTATTATAAAAGAAATAATAACCCAGACATTAGAGTTCTGTACCTTGCTAAAAATAAGTGAAGCTGGTACAAAGACTTCAACAATATCTTTACATGCTTTCCTTCCATATAAAAAATAATCTTCACATTCTGAATATCAGCCAGCCAACACTCATTTATAATTTCAAGGTCATTATTGCCATTTTAAAAGTACGATCTCTAAAATAAATAATATGACTGGAGTTGTGCTGTACTTTCTCAACAGTGGGAAAAATAGAAGGTTTCAACATTTATTATTTGTATGACTATCTCAGCATTATTTTCTTACATAATATTGAGAAAGGTTAACTACTGTATTAGTGCTGATTTTAAGAAAAATGTCATTTTGGGAAAGCTGAAGAGAGGGGAGTAACATCAAGATGAAGCTACCAACAAAGAAATTGTTCTTTCAATGAAGTAAGCCCCCAGACATTGTAGTGTAATTTTTTGTTAATGAATGCATTAGTAGAACTTTAACACAGAAGAAACCTCTGAATTTTAAACTATCATAGATCTTTGTTCAAACTGGGTATGACAAAAGCATTTTATACTGATTATATATTTCATCTGCACAGTTGGATGCACTAATGATAGATTTTGAGTTTATTTTCACAGTAACTCAGAAACAGTAATTAAAATAATTAAAATTCTTTACACAGCATAAAAATTCAACAGTGTAATGTCATTTGCAGATTCATCATGAAGACCTCAATGACGTGATGGGGGTTTTTCATGTACATGGCTGCTAAGATGAAAGGGTTGAGGCAGCAAGAATTTATACAGCGAGCATCAGACCAACAGAATATTGTTTCCCTCCCTTCTTGCTCATGTATCCAAGAGTTGAGTGGGAAAGATGAGCTAAAGGGGTTTCCATTAGGCCTTCTCCTTTGCCATTAAGCACAGAGCAGCCTGAGCTCACTCTGCAAGGCAGCCTCTAGCCTCATGCACTAATTTCAGCTTTAGCAAGAGGCTTATGTTCTGCAGACCTGAAGGTTATACAGGTTACTTGACAAGAGCCCAAGGGTCACATCCAATTTGCATATAAACCATAGACATTTTCTGTAAGTGCATATAACCATATTTGGCATGTAGATGGAAAATAATGTATGGTAGTTCGAGTTCATTAGCAGCACCAGTCAGCAGCTCTGTCCCCATCCCTCAGATACAGGGAGAGGGCAGCTGGAGCACACATTATATAACTCAGCAGGTCTCATCTGGCCCTTGGTCTGCACATTACATGCCCCCACTCTACTGTTTGATGTGCTGAACAATCTCAGATTTCCAACTGGGGATGTAAACTGATAATGAGATTGCTTTAATGCTCTAAATCTCAGTGGCATTATCAGAAAGGCCATTTTCTGGCTTTTGCAGTTGCCTGAAAGGGAAAGGGAAATAAACACTGGAGGTGAATCAGAATTGTTGTGTAAGTTACAAGACAAACAGGAGCTGCTGATTCAGAAGACACTGTAAACTGGTCGCAATCAAGTACCAATTTTGTTTTCTTCTGATACATGTCACATTAAGTATTTATTTAAAATGCTGTTCAGGTGGACAGGGTCAAAGAAAGCGGCATCACATTTCCACCAGAGACTCGAGAACAGCAGATAAACAGTGTGAATGCCTTGCAAACATTCAAATAGCACAGTACACCATATGATCTTTTTGTGTACAATCACAGTATGCCAAGAGATCTGCTTCACATCAGCCACAAAACCAATTATCTGCTAAATGCAACATTAAACAATCCACTATCACTTCTGTTTCCAGGTGTTACAATAGTCCATAATTGCTTCTCTAATTCTCACCCAACACTTGGGCTATAGCATAATTTCTAGTTGTCAGGCATCACGTAAGTCTGTTTTAAATTTTGCCAAAGTATAGTCTTGAGAAACTACAAACAGCAGGGGCCAAATTTTAATAAGTATCTCTGCTTCCGTCACTTCAGCAACATGATTCCTACTGTTGTAATAACAGGGGGTCTTTAACATGCCTTCAGGGACACACAGTTAAAGCCAAGAAAAATGTCACAATTATTAACTGACTACAAAGAGAGAAAACTAAGGAAACTATTATAGCGTTGCTAGAAAAGTTACTCTCTTAATTAGAGCATTAGAACATTGTTATATGTCTCTCTTCAATAGCAAGTGGCAGTGACATCTGTATTTATACTGAGGTAAACAGACAAGACACTGATCTTTATTAAAATTAGTAATGTATTCTCTTGCAGTATCCTTGAACTCCCAAGACTTGTCTGTGCTGTTGCTGACCTCACTGCATGTCCTCTCTGTCCTTTTCCCCACACTACACCTGTGACATGTGGGGGCATGTCACAAGCCCCTTTCTTAAGTGAGATATACACCCCTATCCAGTGACATCCAGCAAGGCACTGGCATTTTATCCTTTTCACTTGTTCTGTCCTGAGCTGTTTTCCATCTTTGGCTTGTGCCGGATATGTCCAGCTGAGCTAGACCACCTAATTACAAACACATGTAACACTTTTGTCAGGCAGTAATGAGGGTAATCTTCAGTTTCCAGAAACTCCTAATAAACACAGTCGTAAGCCACTGACCAAAAATCCAGGAAAATTAAATTAAACTGCTTGTGAGCTCAGTGGGTTCAGCTGCATCACTAATTTAGTCTTTTGTAGGGTTTCTTTCAAGAGAGAGGCTGTCTCGTGTCCATACCTGGTGTCCCCTGATACCCCTTACGCACAACACTACTCACTCCAAGACCTTTCCCTCCTGGTGGAAACAAGAAACATAGAGCACCCAGCTCCCCAAGCATGCTCGGGGAATCTCAGAAAGGAAACCAGTGTGAAATTCATGCTGAGAAAGCAAAGTGTGGACACAGATTTAAGGGCCATAACAACTGAAATAAAATCTAACCGCACACCTCTTAGTAAAGCAGGTGCACTGAGTGAACTCCACTTCTCCTTATTACTCACAGAATGAATGAAATTACTAGAGAAAGCTGTATTGAAGGGGGAGAATAAAGTAGAAACAGGAAGCTGTGGTAGTTTTAGTCTAGGCCTTCCTTGGTGACCAGTTTGCAACCAAGGAAGTGGCCATAATACCCAGTATTCCCTACGATTTTTACATAAGCCAGGGGTATAAAGAAGAAGGGAGGAGAGGCCTTTGCTCTATTCCCTTCTGGTAGCTCTGGAGGTGCGGGTTCCCCGCTGTTGGTTCTGCCGTGTGGGTGAGTGGGGCCTGGTGAGGCCTTGTGAGACCTTGGGAGGCGGAGGGTGCTGGCGGTCGTCCAGCGTGATTTCTGTTGTCCCAAGGAGAGTAGTAAGATATTCTTTTGCTAATTCTTTAGTTTGCTAGATCCTCAGTTTCTGGTTGTGTGTATATCTATTTTGTTTTCTTTTTTTTCTCCCTTCCCCCATCCCTTCCCCTTTTCCTTTTGGAATTGTACATAGTATTTCAACTGTATATAACTATAATATATGTAAATACATTTATTTCCATATAGTTTGGCTAGTCTGGATTTTTCAGGTTTTTTTCTTAGCTCTCTGCTTTGTGTTGGGTCTGGGGACTTGGCGGGGAGCCAAGTAAAACTTAGACAGAAGTTAAATAGAGTAATAGATTCTTTCTCATTTTTGTTAATATAAAGAACAAAACTAATCGCTGTGTCATGAAGTGGGGAACAATATGTAGCTCAGGGAGAAGAAATACAGTCACCTGAGCAAATCAACTAAATGTGCCTCAGACTGAGTGGCTACTCTAATTCAGTGCAAAAGCTTGCAGCAATTTAGGAAGGAAATAATGAAAAATTGAAGTTCTCTGAGCACCTGTGCAATTTAATCTTCACTAATCTCTGAGTAGTATCTAAACCTAATATTTATTACTTTACTCTAGGAATTGGATTGGTCCCTCTTACTAGCAATCAAATCAATCAATTATTCTCAACGCAAAGTATAATAATATTTTAAACTGTTTCACTGTTTTCTTGGTGAAGCAAGTGTTAAGAGCACTCATTGCCTTCTAATCTCCTCTTGTAATATCAACCCACAAATTGTGGTTATCAAATCACGGGGCTTTATTGCCTATCCAATCAGATAGCAAGGCTATTCAGTATTCTGTCCATCATCTGCCAGTTGAATACTCTTGGAACTTGCCCACTGTCTGTCTCTCTATATTCTCATTCTCTGCATGCACCCTGCCAGTATGCTCCTCTGCTCTGAGCTGCCATAAGTTTGGAGCACTCCAGGAGGAGCCACTCCTTTCTTTTAAGCTTCCCATTGCATCTAGGACTGCCACCATATGTGGAATGGCATTTACATGGAAGCAAATGCAAGGTTCAGAAGGCTAAAGAGAACTCACTGTGTAAACCTGCAGTCTGGAAAAGTTCCTGGGAGACATGATCTGTGGATTAGAGCCCTCAGATATGTGTGTGGGTTCCCAAGAGCATTTGCTAAACTCTGGGCACATTATCAAAACTAATCCTTCTTTGGGTCTCTGCTGAAATAAAAAGTGAATGCACGTCAAATTTCATGAAAAAAAAATGAATAAGAGTTTCTGGCTCTGTGGGATACCGATTTTTGATCCCAGCTGAATCAAGTTGCCTTCCAACAACCTGAAAGGTAGGCTGAAGAAGGTGGGTTTTGAGCAGTATCAGAGTGATTGCTGCTGCCATTGGTTGGCTGTACATGTGTCTCTGTCCAGCTCATTCTGAACTGACACTCTGAGCTCTCTCTCATGCCTTGATATCACGTTAAAGGCGCTGGATCTCAGAGCAGGATCTATGGGATACTACAGTGCTTCTCTGTGAGTAACCTGGACCCTTCTTCAGCCTGGCTCTGTGCTTAGTACAAGCAGGTGCTGTCCATTTTGAGACATTGCTTTCTCGCTTGACTTTGGAGCAAATTTTTCCAAATCTTGGACTCAATAATTTGGACTTTATTTTAAACATGCAAATAAAACTTCCAAGAAATTTGATGTGATTATACCAATAATGATTTCCAAAGCTTCTCACATATGAAAATAAATCATTAGTCAGTTATCTGCCACTACTTTTGGTCAACTCTGCTTTGCAACTTTCAGGCAATAAAGTTCATGCTTTGGAAGATTGTCCTAGATGAAACAGATCCTGTGAAACAAGAATTCATAAGAAATAAATTAAAAATTAAAAAAGCAACAGGGAAAATTACCTAGAAGCACGTAGAAAGGAAACAGAGTCTAAGTGAATTTCCCTGCAAGGAAGGACTCAGATAACTACACTGATTTAGAAGTTAAAATAATGTATTATAAAATCATACGTGGGAGCTCCTGAAGGAAAGTCAGTATTGCTAAATACAGTACAAGAGAAGAGGAATTTCTGAACAATCTGGGTCTCTTCTAGGAAGGACAAGTTTTGCTCCCAGCCTCCTTAAGCACTGGTTACCTGAATGCTGTGTATCCATGCTTCCTCACTTCCTAAATAAGTATGATATATTGGTCAACATGCTTCCATCAGTCAGTTAGGGCCAGGAGGTTTGGTAAAGGAAGAGTCTTTTTGGTCCATTTTGCGCTTAGTGTGAAAGAGAAGGACAATGACCTGGCATTTATTTCAATTCTTCACATCACAGATCATATACAAGAATATGATTCATAAAAGTCGTTGTACCAAAGTCAAGACATCTTAGCAGAAAAAACTGTTCTATCTGATTACAGTACTTGTTTAAATAATGTAATGGGTAGACAGGACAGTATCAGGCTAAGTAAACAAGCTACTAATCTTAACAGAATGTGTTTTGAAAGTGAAATGTACTTGTGATCTGCTGATGATTTTTGTTATTCTAAGAATAATGATGGCATATTCAAAAATAGTTTTCTGTGTGCAATTTTGCTTTGCCTACTTTATATAGTTGTCCTTATAAGTTCTTCTAAATTATTGTTTAAGTATTTACACGGAGCACACTCTTATGGCAGAGAGTAACTTACAATCTAGGGCTGTGTACTATCAAATTAGATCTCAACTGCATGCATCATCCAGAAAATTTCAGCATTTGCACAACACATTTATTCAGGTGGAATTTAATTAAACTGAACAAATTAAAGCTGACTACTGAGTCATTTCAAAGCATTGAAGCAGAGAAGTAGACAGTGACACTGGAACAATTTGCAGCCATCTAGGACATTGTCATCTCTCAGTAGCCCTCAATTAGCCATTAATAATTTTGTGAAATTTAAATTCTATTTGTACTGTGTAAAAACTAATTTGACAAGAGAGACCTGTTAACCTGTGCATTTCCACAAGTCTGTCAAAATGTGAAAACATGCGAGAATATACTTTTTGACCACTACAAGCAACTGTCATATTGGCTAATGTCTATATGTATATATGTATACACAAACCTCACATTTTTAATCTTTGCCTTATTGACTTTTCCTTCCTCCACTCAGGTCATGATGGAACATAAACTGTGCTGACCTGCTGTCTACATCCAGACTATACAAAACTGAGGCTGCAGCTAAATGAGCACTTTTACACACATTTATGTACTTATCAAATTATAACTACAGGAATTGGGGAGGAGGGGCAAAGAAACCTCTCTCAGCTTTGTATTTATCTATGCATTTGATTGCCTTGACCAGTCAGATGAACTCAAATTGAAAGCTGTAGTCTTCAATTGTAAAAGGCCAGTAAAAAGGCCATGCGCTCGCTTACTCCCTGTGCTCAGACCGTCACACTCGCTGCTGGCTTCAGTACCAGGGAAGTATTTGCCCCTGATCAATTGATATACTTCAGCCTCTTGCTTGTCTAGGACCACCTCACCACCCCATGGCATTAACTATAGGAAATTCATGGCTGACAATGTTTAACGTAAACTGTGCTAAAAAGCCTCTAGTGAGGAAAGTCCCACAATCTCCACAAGTAACGCATTCTAGTGCTTAACTCTCCTTTCACTAGAAATGCTGAATACATAATCTGATCTCCCTTCATGCAACTTCAGGCCACTATATCTTCATATAGCAGTGGATGTGAAAAATAACTAGTTCCTTTAGATCTTAAAACAATATGTATATTTGAAAACTGTTACCGAGCGTCTCTTCTATTTTCCTTTAGAAAAACCAACCCTAGTTCCAAGAGCCTTTTCTCTCAGGCAGTGTTTGCAAGCCCTCTGAGCATTCCTGCAGTGCTCCCTTACAGAATAAGCCTTCCTTGCATTCCCTCTGGAGCTGCTCAGGTCTGCATGGGACCTGATTTTAGAAGCTGGGCAATTTCCAAGGTAGCTCACGAAAGGTAAAAGAATTGATTTACAAGATTGGATGGCCAGAAACCTTACTTCATAAAAATGAAAGTTAAAACAACTTGCACTCTGACTGATGACAAGGTATCACCAAAATGCAGGAACTGCATTACTCTGTAGTAACTGGAGTAGAAATAGGTTAAATATTCCACATTTTCCTAGAAAAATGGAGCATACTGGATAGCCCTGATATGATATGTTCCCATAAGTTAAAGCGTTTAAACACATTCAAAGTAAAATCTGTCTCTAAAATAAGCATTTTGAAAGCAGAGGGAAAACATAAATCACTGTGATTTCTAAAAAAAGTGAAAAATAATGGATGAAACTAAAAGCAGGTATCAAATAGCACAGAACAGTTCTAGAAAGTAAAATGGTATTCAGTAAAAGTTCACAACATTTAAACAGCTGAGGATGATTTTTCCTTTACTGAAAAAAAACTAGAAACCTGTATGGAAATGACTGATAAGGAAATCTACAGTCAAAATGACAGCAGAAGAATCAGAGTAGGCAGCATCAAAAATATAGGAAAAAAGAAATGTTCTGATCTGCTTTTGAAAGTCAGGCACACTTAACTAAGGCAGGTAATACACAGATGACTCCCCAGGTTAAATATTTCCTGCATACTAACAGAGGCATCTTCAGTGTGACTTTATTATTTCATATGCAAAATCACAGGGTCTATCCACACACATACATGGGAAAAGCACAGATATCCTATGCTTTATGTGGTGGAAGTCTGTGGGACTGTTCTGTGTGCTTAGAGAGCTGGGGTTCAGCCTGGAGAAAACTTCTATAAGGAGACCTTATTGCAGCCTTTCAGTACTCAAAGGGGGCTTACAAGAAAGATGGGGACAGACTTTTTAGCACAGCCTGCTGTGATAGGACATGGGGTAATGGTTTCAAACTAAAAGAGAGTAGATTCAGACTAGATAGTAGAAGAAATTTTTCATGACGAGGGTGGTAAAACAGTGACAACCTCTCTTTCCCAGAAAGGTGGTGGGTGCCCTATCCCTGGAAACATTTAAGGCCAGGTTCGGCAGGCC